TGGTTTACTCAAAAGTTAAGACAACTTTCTCGACAGAAAAAACGCTTATATAGAAGGCAAAAACAAACTAATTCCTTAGCATCTTCCAAAGTGAAGTATTTAAAAGTAGCTATCGAATTCGAAAAAGTATGTGAAGTTGAGAAAGAAAATTATCTAAAAAGAATATTCCGTCCCGTATTTTCTTATAATTCTTATAATTCCATGAGTTTTTGGCAGGACGACACAGTAGCTGTAATTTTCATCAAAGTGTTTCCGCGCCTCAACACGGATATTGGACTTTTTGCTCTTTGTTCATTCTTCTTGATTTATCTAACTTTAAAAGAAGTATTTTTCAGTGGTCAATTTACTATTTCAAAAGTGAAAAGTATTATACGAAAGGGATAGGGTTTAACTGGTTCTGTGCGCCAACCAATAGAAATTCAACATGGATGCCATGCCTAAAATTAGGCTAAGGGCGGTTGTTTTCCCGCTAGCCGTCAAAAATAGCCGTCAATTGACGGTTAGCAGGAATTTTGAAAAAGGCTATCCCTATGAAAAATTCCTATGCTTCACTGCTTGGCCTTTTAGTACCTTGGTGATAAATATGCATCGGTTGAGTTCTCAGCAGTGATAAATGAAAAGACGAAAATTTTTACAATAGGCGTCAAGACTAATAGGTGTATAAATGTATGAAATAGTAGATTTGATTTTTAACATAGAAAATTTTTATTCTTTTCCTAACTTCTCTCTTGTTATATGTGTCGTATGATGAAATCGACGATTGTATGTAGATCACCATTGAAAGAAGAGGAAAAATTGAAACTTTAATGATCACAAATAAAATCCAAAACTAAATGTAGAGTAATTACAGTGATTTTGATTTTGAAGAATCTGGTGCAAAAGCTTGTGACCATATTTCTATTAATTACGTTCTAGGTTTTTGTCGGTATCGATTCTCTTCTTTTTACAAGATCACTATTGTGAAGAATAATCAATGCATGACGTATTGGAATTCTTAATTAAACATTCAAGCATAGAAAAGGTTGAAACTCATTCTTCCTGTAAAAGTTGAGCTTTTGCACGTTGTTCAAAGCTAAAGACCAGTCTTCTATAGAGTAAATGTGCCTAATAAGAACGGACCTTTTAAGAGTTGCGGAGTTTTTTTTTATCGTAAAATAATTTCTTAATCGACCTATGCACTTCACTTTGAAACTTCAACCGCTAAAAAAAGTCGATTTTTTAATCTTTTAATCCTTAATCCTTAAATCTTTTAATCGATTTAATTTTTTAATCTTTTTTTTAATGTTTATCGCTTATTGAGTTGTCATCATTGATAATAACGGTTTCTTGCCATAGAGGGAGCGTAAATACTGTATTCAAGTATTTTATCGAGTCTTGAAGAGAAATTCAAGGCTATCTCGATTAAATTTTATTAGAGTTATAAAGAAATATTGACTCGGTCAACAGAACAACTGGTATCATGACTATTAGATGTGGAGTGCATAGCCTCAATAAAATTTAAGGCTCCTCTCTCAGAAATATGAAATTTTTGTAAAAAAAGTCAATATTTAAAATTTAATCTATTCATTATCAACATTTACAACAAATAGTAGCATTTTTTATTTATTTTGATCAAGACGAAAAGAATTTAAACGCAAAACACCATTAAACATTAATCGATAATGAAGCTTTGAAATCTATGGAGTCAATAAGCATAGATGTATGTAGTTAAAACAAAGGAGTAATCAGTAGTAGTTTGATTAGCTCCGTTCTGATTAGGCACATTTTTCCTAATAAGAACGCCAAGCAAAGACCAAGCAAAAAATTTGAGAATTCAAAAATGGCTTGATGCTGGTGTTACCCAAAATTGAAATTTTTGATTTGCTCGAAAATAATAAGGAGTCGAAAATTCCTGTTCACGTTAATGAGATTATATGAACTTTCATCCGATTGAATATTAAAATGAACGAGCGATAATCTACACATGCGAATTTTTTTCTTCTTTTGTGCAGTATATTAAGTGATATGTAAATCTCCTCTCAGAACAGAAGACCACTCCATACTAAAAGATCACCCCGGAAAAGAAGACCACTTCGGTGAAATGTTTTTGAAAATAGGTATAGGACATTATTTTACGTTTTTTCGATTTTTTGGCGGACACAGTAGAAGACTAGTGGTCTTCTATTTTGGGGAGGTGCATTGGTTCGATAATATTGTAATTATGCTATTGAGGTGAACCAAAAATTATTTGTGTAAATATTTGTGCATTGGTGGATTTGTAACTGATTAAAAAATTCGTTTGAATTGGATGTCCATTCTCGAACGTTCATCGACGCAGCAGCAAAAATCTTTTTAGTTTCTTGATAAAGTTTAATAGCAGCTTGAACATTGTCTGCTCCCGAAATAATATTATCAACGTAAATATTATCGAAAATGTTACCTACTGTCTCTGACCCATTTTGAAGCAAATGATAAGCCAGAGTTGCCGCCAAAAGAAAAGGACTCGAAATTAAGCCAAAAGGAACCCGCGTAAACCGAAAAGTTGCTAAATTGTTTATTGTTGTTAGTTTATCAGGACTTTTTAGCCAAAAAAACCTTGTTGCATCTCGTGATTGTTTTTGTAAGCCTATTTGAAGAAAGGCTTTCTCGATGTCTGCTACAATAGCGACCTTGTTCAATCGAAATCGCAATAACAACGAACACAGATCGGCTAACATGACTGATCCTCGATACAAACAATCATTGATACTTAAATTGTTTTTATTTGTTTTCGCCGAACCATCGTAAACAATGCGAACTTTGGTTGTGGTTTTGGTTGGCGTAATAACGGCTTGATGCGGTATGTAGTGGACGATCGGACCATCTACATGCGATTCTTGAACTTCTTCGATTATACCCTTGTCAATTTGATCTTGGATAATCAAATCGTATTGTTTGAGCAGCTCAGGTTTGTCATGAAATCTTCGAACCAGAGAATTAAGGCGACCAATCGCTAATTGTTTATTGTTAGGTAAATCGATTTTTTCGTTACGCCATGGTAATTGAACGAAATAACGTTGACCTTGAAATTGTATAGTTTCATTGAATTGTTTCAAAGCAACTTCATCATCCGGACAATCGATTTTGTCCTTGATACCAATCGTGTCAAGCGACCACCATTCCTTGAGGTCGACTTGTGGACTTAGATTGTCATCTTGTTTGGGAAATCCGCTGGATAATTGACCCAAATCCGTTGTCAAAGACGAAACGAATAGAGAAACTGGTCGATTATTGAACTTGTTGATTGTGGAAATGCAACCTGATAGTATCCATCCAAATTTCGGTCCGAGCAAATACAATTGCTCATTGATTTTGATACGTTCGGGCATCGTAAATTGACCATAATATTCATTGCCCAACAGAATATCTGCATTGGAATTTTCGGCTTTTGTTGGAAGTGGATCCGCCAAGGATACACTTTGGATTAAATATTGAAATTCTTGTGTATTAATAGGAACTCGGTGAATTGAATTGACGATTGTTGGGACAACGTTGACCGTTATCCTTTGAAATTGGCCATCGATTAATTTCAAATCAACGTTGGCTATTGGCGTTTCAATAGTTTGCGCTTGAGCAGCTCCAAATTTAAATAGATATATCGTTTCTCTCCGAATAATTGGAAGTTTGAGCTGCTTGAATAATTTTTCTGTTATAAAACTACGTTGACTCCCACTATCTAAAATAATACGAGTCCGGATTTGTTGATTCGATTGTCCATTTTGAGCAATCGTTGTTGCAGTTTGTAACAAGACAAATTTATTCAAACTGGAATTTTTTAAAGCATCGTCTGCTTTATCGTTTGAATTGCACTTGGTTGATTTTTCGTTGATAAGTGTTAACGTATTTGTGGTTTGAGAATGAGATTTGTGTTTCATCGTACATAAGCTACTGTGATGCTTACCCACTTGTTTGCAATGATAACACGGCTTCTTGCTTTTGCAATCATTAATTGAGTGGCTTTTGTTCAGACAATTGTAACAGTGACCAGGAATTTGCCTTTTCCGGTCTTGAATCGAAATAAATTTGCGACATTCATCGCTCCAGTGCGTTTGAGAACAAAAGGCACAAATAGGCTGAAAATTCAACTTGTTTTCGGCGTTGATTTGTTTGATTAGCGGTTTAATGTTTGATTGAGAGTGATCGCTAGTTGTTAATTTGTTATGAGACAGTTTCTCACTATCATCCTCGTTTAATTGATCAATAATCGATTTAATAATATCTCGTAATTGAATAACTGTACATTGATAGATATCCTGTCTTTCGTTAATTTTTAATCTGATTTCGTTCGGTAGTTTGGACCAAAATAAATTGAATAATATTCAATTTATTTTGGTGACTGAACACCGTTGCATATTCAATATGCAACGGTGTTTAGTTTCGATTTCTAGCGCTTCAAGTGCACGCAAATGTGTGTCAAAGTTAATTAACATTGTTCGCAATGAGATTTTATTGTTGTCCGCCATTGTTAATTTAAATAGGGAATAGAAATGATTATCCGCTATTTTGACATTATTATCGTACGTTTCTTTTAATACCTGAATGACTGGATGATAGTTTTCGGCTGCAACTGGATAACTTGCGATTAATTTAAATGCGTCACCATTTAATTGAGATCGTAAATATGTAAATTTTTCGATAACGTTTAGCGTCGAATTTTCGTGTATTGCCGAAACAAATACACCCCAGAAAGCTTTCCATTTTAAGGTCTCGCCATCGAATTTCTCAATTTCGAGCTTAGGCAAACGAACATTCGATTTGCCATTAGCTGTAATCGCTCCAGATGGAATATTGTTTGTATTAGGTAAATCAACTTGCAAAAAACGTTGTAACGATCTACGTAAATTTTCTAGTACAATATCTGCTGGAATAACAGCCTCGTCGTACTTGTACTATAATTCTAATAATCCTTCACTAATACTATCCAACTCTTCTTGTTCTTTCTCATCTTCCGTTGTAATTTGATTTAAACTGTCGCTTAATATCTTAATTCTTCCAAAAAAGGATACTAACTTGTTTTTATCAGTCATCATTTCCGAAATTAATTCTTCGTTTTGTTCCATATTTTCGATCGTTCGATTGTGAAACGGTATATTCATAATTTTCGCTATTTGATCGTTTAAATGCTTCTTACTTGGTCCTAGTTGCTTTCGAATTTGATTCGCCATTTTTTTTTTTTTTTTATATTAATAAACGAAATTGAATACAATAATACGAAAAGTATATTTATCAACGAAAAATTAAACAATTGATTATCACATTAACTTGATAAATAACTTAATCGATTACCAGATCAATCGATGTTCCCTGCCAGGGTCGCCATGTAGCGAAATGCTTGATTTTTATTAGATTTTTTGCACTTTCGCCAAGTTCTTAAGCTTTGATTGCTGTAGTTAAATGTGCATCTTACACAAGAAGAATATACGTCTGTCACATGCTGTTATAAATTTATTTAGTAACGTTAACATATATCTTCGCTAAAAACACAATAAAAAATTCTTTCTGATCGTCTTATCCTTTTTCACATCTCTTCTTCGTGCAACACAAAGGAACACGCACATTTTTCTTTTTCTGTTTGTTATGAGTCATTATTTCAGCTAGCTACGTAAACCTATACAGAAAAAAAACACACGCAAATTAAAAAGTAACTAATTCTAGATTGTTACAAAATTTGAAATCGCTAAGCGGCAGTTTGAATCTGAATCCCTAATCGCGTTTCGCGACATAAGCGATGAAGTCAAATGTTTTATCTCATTCAACTCAACATACCATCAGCTACAAAACTCCGCATTCTTTTTTTCCTTTTCTGTCCTCTGTTGGAAAAATTCGTTTTTACTGGTATCATAGACAAAGGGGAAGGTCATTTTTCAATAAAATGCTTATTTTTTATTCAAATAAAGTGAAAATTTTTTGCATAGGCAAAAACTGCTGATGAATCTAATGGGTATAGTTTTTCGAAATTTTATTTCCTAAAATAGGAAAGATTTTCTTTGCAGTGAATTATCGATCACCAGGTCTTTCAAATGCAGAAACTGAAGAATATGTAGAATTTTTGAGAGATAAAAAGAAAAGTATGAAGCAACAAAGAGGCAAAGATCATATGTACAATATGTGTGTCTGTGTTAATAGAGAGAAATATCGAGAACAAAGAGAATGAATGTAAATGATGATCACTTGTCAGACATGTGAAAGGCCTTAGGCCTGTAACAAGGACGCATACAATTCTCTGTGGTAGGCATGCAACAGTTTTTTTCGCGTATTTTTCGAAAAATGGTTTTCCCAACAACGAACTGTGTAATTTTCTGAAATCAGCTTTTGTGGAGTAGCATAGAGAAGTGTAGTCGATTTACCCTAGTGAAACTTCTTGCATCTAGATCTTAGTTAATGAAATTTCAATTTGTGGACTGCTCAGTATACCAATTAGTTAGCCGTTGTAAAAATTAAAAAAGTAATGCTTTTGAGCTTTTACGAGTTTCCAAAAGTTTTGGCAAATTTTTGCTCGGAAGGTCGGATTATCATAGTGTCCATTTTTCTAGAGAGCAGGCGCATATAGGTTCTACAGCCATCGGCTTTGTAAGCAACAATTTTCGATGACATCGAATGGGGTTTTTGATAGTGTACATTAAATGAAAGAACGAATCATCGAGCCTTTTGAAAAGGTAATTTCAACTATTTTCATGCGTTTTAAGCTAGCATGTAAACAACCAAGTGCAATATTTAGAAAGAAAAGAAGATGTGCTAGAAAGTGAATAATATCGAGGGATCAAAGCTGAATAACATAGTGAAAAAGAAGGAAGAATGTAAGACGAATAGATGGAGATAAGGTACGCACAGTATTCTCTTCGTCTTTTCTGCTATTAAATATACAAGGAATTTTTATTTTACTAATAGAGAAAGGCACGTATGCTCGCTTTTTTCGTTAATCACGCTTTTTCGGGTTAGACATAATGAACGCTCAAAATGTCATTTCGACTCTGAATGAATTATTAGCAAATAGTTTAACGAACAAAATGATGGACACAGAGCGTACCCGCAACCCAAATAATTCAGCTACAATAGCGCGAAAAACCGAAAATGTTGTATTTCAAGTACCGTATTTTGGCTTGAGCAACCAAGTCTACGCGAAACAAATGATAGCTGCAATCAACAAGATCTATACGTAGAAAACTGTTCGAGCAGTTTAAAACGTTAGTTAAAAACTTGGAAACGACTTACGCACAAAAGATGCGGTTCTGACTGAGCTTAAATCTGGAGTGGGATACGAAGCAATATGCTCTCAATGTGGTGAAAAATATATTGGGAAAACTGTCGGCAAGTGTCGGCGACAAACTTTGTCAAAATGTTTGTCCACTTGTGCTAAATCTATCACTCTTGCGCCGAATTGCGAGATCGTTCCTGTACTTCTGTACAGATTTTCCACAAACCCTGTTTTTTCCGCTAAAATGCATTTTCTCGGCTTCGAAACATCTTTATTGCAAAACCAAGGTCAAATTCGAAATCAGCGCGAGAAACTACATCGAAAAATATATAATTTGTTAATTTTTCAAGTAAAAACGTTTTCGATTTAACCGATAGAGTCCCCCAGACGAACTAGATATGCTTTAATTAAACTGAATAGTAATATTAATTAGTCTAGGCATAAGTGGTAAAAAAATATAAAGATTATTTTTCTTTGCTTTGTCTTACCAAC